AATGTGGAGGAGATGGATTGTTTATAAATAGAGTTTGTGGAGTTAGAGATATTAATATTTGTTTACCTATATTTGAATATTAGCCTGGGATTTGGTTTGGGAAGTCCGGGGTGGGTGGGATATATTATAATATTGTGTAATACTTGTGATGTTTTTTTCTTTTTTGGAAAACAATAAAAATTTTATATTGAAAGAGAAAAATCCAAATAGTATTTGCTTGTTCAAAATTAAATTTTATTCCTTTTTTATTTCTTTTGTACTAAATGCTCCCTAGTGTTGAGATCAGGCCTCCATATAATTATATAGATTTTGGGGGTGAAAATACATCCCAGTAAACCACCACCAGAAGACAGGATAGAGAAAATCTCCACGGCCACCATGTACTTCCCTTTGGTACTCAGGTAGGTGGGGACAAAGGTCAACCAAACACTGCAGAAAACCAACATGCTGAAAGTGATGAACTTGGCTTCGTTGAAACTGTCTGGTAACCTCCTGGCTAGGAAAGCCACAGTGAAGCTGAGAAGAGCCAAGAGGCCCATGTAGCCTAAGACACAGTAAAACATGGTGATGGAGCCTTCATGACATTCTACGATGATTTCTTCAAGGAGTGTCTCCATGTCCAAATCTGGAAATGGGGGAGAAGTACTCAGCCAGATGGCACAAATACCAACTTGAATGAACGAGAAGAAGCAGATAATAGAATAGGCCAACCTTTGTCCCACCCATTTGTGGAATAGGTTTCCTGGCTTTGATGCTAGGAATGCTACAACAACTGTGATAGTTTTGGCAAATAGAGAAGAGATTGCAATAGAGAAGATGATGCCAAATGATGTTTGTCGGAGGAAACAAGTTGCCCTATTGGTCTGCCCAATGAACAGAAGTGAGCAAAGAAAGCAGAGAAAGAGAGTGATAAGTAGAATATAGGTGAGATTGCGATTGTTGTCTTTAACAATGGGAGTGTTCCATTGTTTAATGAAAATTGCAAGTACAAGACCTGTGCAGAAGGAAAGGAAAAGAGCCAGAGACACTAGAGTAATCCCTAGTGGCTCTTTGAAGGAGAGGTAATTCAGTCTCTTTGGAATGCACTTATTGTGAGCTTGATTTGGAAATTGATCTTCTGAACAACTGCCACAATTCTCCATATCTGAAAAAAAGGAAAGAGTTTCTGAACAGACTCAAACTTTTTAAAAGTTTCAGAGTTGCTTTTCAGGTTTTCCCTGCAATCTAAGTGTTTACTAAATCGTTTTGTAATTCTGTATTCAACCTACATTTTAAAAATGAGTATTGTAGAGAAACACTATTTAGATTTTTTCTACATTTCAATGTTCTTGTCTTTTTGGAGTGCATTAGGTTTTATAGCATTTCTGAACAACAGAACAGCATGTCTCACTTTCTAGTAGGAAAGAGAAAGGATATGCTTGACACTTTAGATCATGAAAAACCTGCAGTAGCAACAGAGCAGCAGTCCCCGACCTTTATGACTTGGCAGCCCAGTTGGCGGGAGGGAAGAGGGGAACTGGACTGCAGAAGGAATTGGGCAATGCACATGTATGCAGCTTGACCTGCACAAGTGATGGGCCTACATGCATGCGTGGGAGTGCCTGCTGGCCCACCACTTGTACAAGTTGAGCTGCACACACGCACGTGCCCATTGGTTTGCCACTGGTGCAAGTTGATCTGCTCATGCACGCACTGCAGCCAGGCACTTGTGCAGCCCAATTCTGAATAGGCCATAGCCCGATAGTGGACCACGGCCCATGGGTTTTGGACCCCTGCACTAGAGGATAGGACAGGGTTGTCAAACTGCTGGCCCATGGGCCGGACGCGTCATCGGAAAACCACGCCCACCTCATTGCTGGCAATGGCGAAAAAGCTTTGATATGTTTTGCGATGTCACATGATGTCACGAGTTGGACATGTCTGGGATAGGACAACAGGAAGTGTACTACTCGATTGCTGCTTCCTTTATATGAGGTGCCTTATCATTTGGATTAGACTCAACTTCAAGGATAGAGAGATAGGGTAGAGGACATCACTGATGTCTCTTTGTTTTCCTCATTTGTGCTGCATCAATACAGCAAGAAATAATGTTGAGGAATTTTTTTTAACTGTGATACAGGCTTTCAGACCTGGGTCCATTGGGATGCCATGAATCTTACCCATCTGTGTGGATATCATCTTTTCTGGACACGGAGCACAAGTGTAGCAGCAAAATTTCCGCCCTTCGATCTTGTTCTTTCTTTTTCCAAGAGGACAAGGGTCATTACATAATGAAAGAGGAGGCAGCTGTCCCCAAATAAAGAAATCAGTATTAATGTTTTGTTCATGTTTTTGTCTTACAGCCAATGAATAAGATCAGGACACTTGATAATCATTTCTGCCATGTAACAGACAATTTAACTTTGAAAATATTATTATTATTATTATTATTATTATTATTATTATTAACAATAACAATAACAATAACAATAACAATAACAATAATAATAATAATAATAAAGTTGGAAGGGACCTTGGAGGTCATCAAGTCCAACCCCCTGCTCAGGCAGGTAACCCTATACCATTTTGGACAAATGGCTGTCCAGTTTCTTCTTAAAAACTTCCAGTGTTGGAGCATTCACCGCTTCTGGAGGCAGGTTGTTCCACTGGTTAATTGTTCTAACTGTCAGGAAGTTTCT